TCTGTGATATTTAATGAAGGGAACAATAGACGGTAGGTAATCTTCCGTGATAAAATATAATTCCACCAACATCAAAGTAATGATTTGTTTTTCAAGTTAATTCAAGATTTGAATGAAATAGCATGTATGTACAAAAAGTAAGTTACCACACTGCTTACAGCTCAGCTGTGTTCCTCCAGTAATACAGTGTGTGTATTTAAAAAAAAATCAGAGGCCAGTGAAGACATCTTAGATTTCAAATCACCTGGAAAAATAACAGCTGGTCATGAGATAATTATTTGCTGAATTTTGTTTAGTAGACATGGAGAAGTAAAAACGTTTTTGTTCCATTTCCAAGTTAAGCTAACAATGTCATTTCTGTAACAACACCCTAATTATCACAACTGAGGCTGTAAAAGTATATATTGTTTTTGTAATTAATTGAAAATATGATATACTTTTAAATAATGTCTGAATTAACATTACAGATGTACCCAAGTTGCCATCACTACCAGGGACAGAGACGACACGAGAGGAGGAAGAGGTGGAGGACGAGGAGGACTCTCCCGATCGGCCATCAAAGGCACGTCGACCTTCAGGTCCCAAGGTGAAGGACCCTTACGCCTCTGATGACACGAGCACCATGCTCCTCCCAGTTATCATTGCCCTAGGGGCTTTCATTCCTCTCCTCTTCTGCCTCTGTAAACTCTAGAGATCAGGTCAGGGGTCCAAATGTGTAAGGTCAGTGTTTAACATGTGTAAGGTCAGAGGTCATCATGTGATAGGTCAAAAGTGTTTTGATCTATTAAGTGAGAGTGGTGTATGTGTGAGTGACTGCATAAAAAACTTGTAGTTCAAAGGTCAGGGAGAACAAATCTTTGGAGGTAGTGAGCATGAACTTAGACATTTGATGTTGACTTGTCACTGTGATGAAAGGTTTGTTCACAAAAATGTAAAAGGTTAAAGGTCAATTGATGGATGTCTGAGGTAATAAGGTAGTGTGCAGAATTGGGCAGTATTGTTGTTTTGCAAGTCAGAGGTCAAATTATACAAGAAGTGTAAATGATATATGCATGTTTATATATAAAAAGAATAATTATGTAAGTTCACACAACAGTATACCTGTGTTTTCAGTAATGACTGGAATAAAACATAGCAAGTAGAACGTGTAAGTTCCTGCTCTTAACAAAGAGTTTTTACATGTCCTTCGGTCACTTGGTATTGTCTTAACAACATCAAACTCTGTTTTTACTAAATATAATGTCCGTTAAGTTGGTTCAAAATGTATTTGAGTGTATATTGACCTGAAATGTGTTTTTTTTTAACTGGCATAAAACCCTTTCTGTTTATTGGAACAATCTAGGAATCCAGTGGTTGGGCATAACAACTTTAATGTATTTGGTACAATGTAGAAATCTAGATATCTTTTTGACATAAAAACCTTTATATATTGGGTGTTATATAGAAATCTAGAGGTTTTACATAACACTTTCTTTATATTGGGTACAAAGTAGAAATATAGGTTTGTTATCAGTGTTTTCTGATCCTTTTTGTGTCGCCTGCAACGCGAGGCAACATATAGGTATTACTT